CACCACAACACGTGTTTATATAGAGTGTGTGCATATATATATATATATATATATATATATATATATATTTATATATACAGTATATATACACACAGAGAGAGAGAGAGTGTATCAGTGCCCATGATCTCCACCAGAGGGCACTCCATCCTTGACTTTTGCCATTCACTCAGGACTTAATTTCCCACAATTCTTTGTCTGCTGACTTATCAGCAGTCGTTACCAGATCACAGCTGCCTCACATTAAAAGGACTATAAAAGATCCACTCAGACACTTCGCTGATGGTTGTTAGCCTGTAACGTTCCCGTGTTCTCCTGTGTTACCCTTGTCCCTTGTTGCCTTGCTTCGTGTTTTGATCTTGGACTGTTTCCTTGTTTTTGATTGTTTGCTGCCTGCCCTGACCATTGCCTGTGTATTGGATTTTACTGTTTTGCCATTGTTTGACCCTGCCTGTCTGACTACGTTTTGAATAAAGTCTTGCATGTGGATCCTCTACTCCATTGTCACGACGTTACAATATATGTATGTGTGTGTGCATATATATATATATATATATATATATATATATATATATATACACATATATATCAAGCGTAGCGTTAGTATCAAGCTCCGATCATAAGCTGCCTGATTTGTAAGTGACTGAGTTAGCATTGCTCCTCGCATCGCTGCATTATTGACATGGACTTCATAAGTTATACTATGTGACTGACTCAAGAACAAGTTAAGATGGGATCCGCACTCCCCACATGAAGGAGGATATCAAGAGATCAAGCATCCATGTCACAGCTGGCTATGTTTCACTCTCCATTCATCTCTGAATGTCTTCACAAAGCTAAGTTCCTTTTAATGCTTTCAGGTTATTGGCAACTTGCTTCGGGCAGATTTGGGCAGCTTTGCGATTATAGACCTGAAATTACGATAATGATGTGGGCAGAATCAGAATCAGCTGTGGCGCATGCACCTCGGGGGAGAAAATGGTAAGCGGGCACTGTTCGGTGAGGTTGGTTCAGCGTTGACTCTGTTCGAATATCGGACACAATTGTTCTATCAGTTGTATTGGAAACATGCTTGTTCCAGAGCTGTCTGGTTATTAGTGGGAACATGCTTGTTCTTAAAGCTATGGTTATATTGGGAACATGCTTGTTCTTAAGGCTATATTGTATTGGGAGCATGCTTGTTCTTAAGGCTATATTGTATTGGGAGCGTGCTTGTTCCAAAGCTATCTGATTATTAGTGGGAACATGCTTGTTCTTAAAGCTATGGTTATATTGGGAACATGCTTGTTTTTAAGGCTATCTAGTTGTGTTGGAAACGTGCTTGTCTAAAGGCTATCTGGTTGTTATTAAGAACATGTTGTTGCTTAAGCTTTTCAGGCATTGGCAACATACTCATTAGGTCATCTGGTTAAGGGCAACATGCTTGTTGATATGGCTTATGCGGGTTTTGGCAACATACTCGTTGGGTCAGTGGGTAAGGGCAACATGCTTGTTGCTAAAGGCATTGAGATTTTCGCTGTCAGTTTGTGTTGGGGATCAGTTGTGTTTTGGGGGTTATCGCTGCTCTCCCTGCTCTTATCCATGCTAGGCTGCATGAATGCGCAGGAAGTCATTGCCCAGAGCATAGCTGTACTGCCAATCCAAACTGTATGCTAACTGTCAATCATCTTTGAAGATAGTGGTCCTGACAGAAACATATATATATATATACACACACACTACCGGTCAAAAGTTTGGGATCAGAACATTTTTTTATGTTTTTTTTTTTTTACAGGTGTTTCTTATGCTTATCAAGGCAAAAATACAGGAAAAAATTTAATATTGTGAAATAATATTATAAAGTTAAATAACGTTTTTCTATTTTAATATACATTAAAATCTAATTTATTCCTGTGATGCAAAGCTGAATTTTCAGCATCAACATGATCCTTCAGATATCATTCTAATATGCTGATTTATTATCAGTGCTGGAAACTGTTGTGCTGCTTCATATTTTTTTGGAACCTGTGATACTTTTTTTCAGGATTCTTTGATGAATAAAAAGTTAAAAAGAAGAGCATTTATTTAAAATAGAAATGTTTTCTAACAATATACACTACAATTCAACATTTTGGGGTCAGTAAATTTTTATTCTTTCTTTTTTTGAAAGAAATTAAAACTTTTATTCAGCAAGGATGTGCTAAATTGTTAAGAAGTGATAGCAAAGATTTATATTGTTAGAAAATATTTATATTTTGAATAAATGCTGTTCTTTTAAACTTTTTATTCATCAAAGAATCCTGAAAAAGAATTCAAAGAATCCAAAAAAATATTTGGCAGCACAACTGTTGCCAACATTGATAATTCTAATAATAAATCAGCATATTAGAATGATTTCTTAAGGATCATGTGACACTTTATACTGGAGTAATGGCTGATGGAAATTCAGCTTTGCATCACAGAAATAAATTATATTTTAAAGGGTATTAAAATAGAAACCATTATTTTATATTGTAATAACATTTTGTAAGATTACTGTTTTTTTCTGTATTTTTTATCAAATAAATGCAGCCTTGATGAGCATAAGAGACTTCTTTAAAAAAACATTACAAGTCTTACTGATCCCAAACTTTTGAACGGCAGTATATATATACACATACACACACATCCCTGTATAAACTTGTTTTTAATAACTTTATATCTTTAACGTACTCGAAGTGTGCACTAAGTAAATGTAATTATTGGGTCGGGACTCGTTATCGACAAATACTCAAAATTAAATGATTCAGTTTGGATCGGGGGCACAAAATACCTGATCGTGACATCCCTATTTTAAACACAATATTGCCAGTTACTGTGCATTTTTGCTCCGTCACAAAAAATTGTTCCAAACAAAGCCACCACAGAATCAAGTGTTGTGTCTTTTGTAGATGCTGGGACAGATTGCTTTTGTGCTGGACGGCTCTGGTAGCATTGAACATGACGACTTTCAGAGAGCCAAAGACTTCATCTACAAAGCCATGTTCAGTGTTTGGAAAACATGTTTCAATGCAAGTATAAACTAAAGCATTTTTTGACACACATTTATAGCCATTTTGTTTCTAAGTACAAAAAACGAACTCTCTCTTCAGTGTGACTTTGCGATAGTGCAATATGGTGCGGAGATCAGGGCCGAGCTCTCACTGCTAGACAGTAAGAATCATGCCAGAGCCTTTCAAAAGATCAAAGAAATACAGCAAATTTTCAATATCAGAAAGACCGCCTCAGCCATCCATCATGTCCTGTAAATTCACGGATTATGATGTAAAAATGTTAGAGATTTTACACCTTAACTGACATGCAGCACTTTTCTTGGTGATATGTTAATATGTTTAATACTGGTTTCATTTGTTGTTTACAGCACAGATATTTTCATCCCTGAGAATGGATCAAAAAATAACTCCAAAAAAATAATAATTGTATTGTCTGATGGACAAATGTTCAGAGACCCAATGAGTCTTTCTGATGTTTTAAACATGCCACAAATGAAAGGTGCCACTCGCCATTCCATAGGAGTAAGTGTCCTGTTTACTGCAGTAGCATTTAAGATAATCACATTTTAAAGGTTTAAAGATATTTTTAAAGGTATATCATATTGTGGAGCTACAACTATAGATTACTGTAATTTATTTAATCTTGTCCTTAAAGATACTACTAGGTTCACCAGTCCTAGTAAAACACTCATATCAAATATATTACTTACAGTTTGTTACTGTATAGTTAATACATTTATTATGGTTTATCAAAATAAATCAGAACCCAGACAATTGCACTAACATCATGTTATCTTTAGGTTGGTGAAGGCATTCTGTCTAACCCTGAAGCAATACAAGAGATGAGGGAAATAGCAGATCCTGATAGGTTTTTTAATGTTTCCAATTACGCTGCATTAGAAGAAATTATTTTCTTAATGGACCTAAGTGGTAAGAAAGTTTGATTCAAGTTGAATCAAAAATTGTATTAGGCCACAGATACATGTGCACAGTTTATTTCATGTGTTATGCTTGACATCCGGGGGCAATTCTAGGATGTTCTCAACTGGTGAGCACAGGAGGGGCCACAATTAATACAGAGGGGCCAATCTTATGTTGTGTATATGTATAACTGTAGATATTCAAATCAGCAGAGAAGAGCAGGTTGATTACGAGAATGTATATTAACAGGAGTCAGCAGAGAATCAAAAATGACAGGCAACGGGTAAGCAGTCATGTTGAAAGCAAGTAAGCAGTAACTTGGCTTGAATAAACAGTTCATAAGATCTCTTTCCACTGGTGAGCACAGAATGATGATGATGAGGAGGAGGAGGACTGAGGACTGAGTCCATAAAGAGTAATGTGTTGACTTCAAGACCAGATAATGAGTGTGGGAGGTGAAGGTGAATATGTACTGGTCTTGATTGGGCGGTGGCAGGTGCAGAGGATTGGTATTCAGGGGACTGTAATCGTGCTGGATTGGGGATTGGGTGAAGTACGTAACATAAACAGTGATACCTTATTATCTTTTAATGGCATTTATTCACTGCTGTAAATCAGAACAGTCAAATACAATTTGTATTAACTTTTCACTTTTCAGAAGTGAAAAACTGTAATAAATAAAATAATCCAATCTGTGAACAGAGTGCAATTCACAAAAATAATAAAATTCAACATTAATTCAGGGCCGATTGATGAGCTGATGAATTGCAGTTGATGGTCATCAGAAGGCTGGTGACAGAGAGCGCACTGTCTGTCTGTCTGTGTGTGTGTGTGTGTGTGTGTGTGTGTGTGTGTTTATATGACGGGAGAGCCTGGTGAATCCATGACACATATGTTGTTCCAAACCTGTGTGACTTTCTTTTTTCCATGTTACAAAAGAAGTTGTGAAGAAAGTTTTTGTTCATATATAATGAGTGTCAATGGTGATTAGAATAGAGCTTGAATTGTTTTCCATTGCCTTTTCCATTGCCAACAGTTATTTTAAACTGTAAAATTATTTCACAATATTAATGTTCTTGACTATTTTTAATCATATAAATGCAGTAGGTGAACATGAACAAAGAACCTTACTAATACAAAACCTTAGAACAGTAATGTATCATAATATCAAAACAAGCATTTGTTAATAAATCTATTTTGTTAACATCAAATTAGTTGCTTATTCTATTCCACAAAATGCCATGAAGTATTTCTTTTCTCATTTACAGTGTACCAAATGTAATACACGTTTGTCCATACAACACAAAGAACTGAACTCAATGTATACAACTAGCTGAAGTTTGCTGTACTTTATCCTAACATTGCACAAAGCAATGCATTTGTATAAGAAAAATATCGATATTTACAATTTTATAAACCATAATCTCTAGCTTCTGCTAACTGTCATACTCGCGTTCACAAGGGAGTGGCATTCAGTTACCGTTTATAAAGTTGCAAATATGGATATTTCTTCGCTTCAGGAGGCCTTTATTAACCCTTCGGAGCCATGTGGAGTACTTTTTATGATGGACAGATGCACTTTTTTGGGCTTCAAAATCTCGATCCCTATTCACTGCCATTATAAAGCTTGGAAGAGCCAGGACATTTTTTTTACATTACTCCGATTGGATTTGTCTGAAAGAAGAAAGTCATATACACCTAGGATGGCTTGAGGGTGAGTAAATCATGGGGTAATTTACATTTTCGGGTGAACTATCCCTTTAAGCACAGTATGAAAAGCCCTGTGAAGGCCTTCAGAAACGGCCTCTGACAGTCGTGAACATGCAAACACAGACAAGCAGAGTGACATAAATAGTGAAAAGTCAAGGGCAGTGCTGTCAGATTGTTATATATGCTCTCTTTACCAGAATCAAGTATTCAAGAGAGAAAGGTGATAAAAAAATTATTTGAGGTCTATTTGAAAAATGAGGGTAGATTGGTTACTTTTCAGTTAAGAGATGCAGATTTCCGTGTTCACCACATCCTGTGACAAAGTCAGCGTAAGATTGCCTCAGACCAGTCGGAATATATTTAGCCAATAGCCTTCGTCAACTAATTTATTTTCAGATCTGTATGAGAACCACACCATGAGAACCAGTCAACCACAGAGTTTCCTTTGAGAGGACTGTGTCAATTGTGACCCCTTTAAAAACGGAACACTGACTTTTACCTTTTAATTTAGACTTTTTCTAGTCAGTGTGACTGTCAGTGTCATGAAAGATCTTTATGAACTGTCCCTGCATTACTATACAGACAAGTTAGACTTCTATCACTGCCTTGCTAACACTTGTTTTGATCCTGTCCAAGCATCGTTTCTAGTTATGTTCTGATAGTTCTGGTAAACAAGTGCATTTAACATTATTTTAAAGTTTATACCGTTTTAACAATAAAAATCATTTAAACATTTTGCATAAGCTAATCATTTTAAATTCAGCTTCACTGTAAATCATGGATCATAATATCAAAAGTCTTAAAATTCGTCTTAAATTGATATTTGACTTTTGGTTGTGGAGTTTGGTGTCTATTCAAATCTGGAGCAAATGACTTCCATGCAAGGAAATAGCTGTTTCAAGGAATATGGTAATATATGGTCCCTCCTGGGCTTTGCCGGTCTTCAGTTTGGACTCTGTGCTTGGTCCACTTTATGGCGGCGACGGAAAAAGCCACACTGAAAATGAGATCACATAGAGTCAGTGCATGCAGAGATATTTTTGAAATAGCATAGAACCATACAACCTTACAACTTTCACTATTTCTGCAGTATATAGTATGCACAGAATGCAAATTTTAAGCATACAATACTCAAACGACCAACTATATTTACCAAAATTTGCAGTACACAATTACATGTTCCTGCAAGGAATTAAACATCCCACAATGCAATGTGCTTGACTTGATCGTCCTTGTAACATCAAGTGTGAGACAGAGAGGAAGTGTTTGTTTTACCTTAATGAGAATGATGATGATTATGAAAAGGAGCAGAAATCCTCCTATGGATCCTCCAATGATGGGACCTTTAGATGTCATCACACGCAGCTTTGTAATTATCACCTCCACCTGCATGGCATAATTAAATCTATCAGTAACTACAGTAAATACGTGATGACATGTTTGCATGCCTGAAAGGACTGTCGCTCACCGGAATGGTTCTCGAAGTATACTTCGCAGCATAGATATTCTCATCAAAGCTGTATGTTCCTACGGCAGTGATCTTGTCTGATTTTTCCTATCAGTTTGAAAATAATTATTGGATAAACAGTTCATTGATGCATATGATTATCAGTAAACCTTAATTATAGAACTATACCTGAACATCATGTATCAAAACATTGGCATCAATGATGATTTTCTGCAGCTTTGTCATGGTACATGTGATGATATAGAATCCCTACATGCAAAAAAATATATAATATATAACTACTTTTATTTAACGTTTTTTTTAAAGCATGGTCATTTTTAAGGTAATATCTTACCTCCACTTTGGTATTTTTTGGAAAAACACACTCCTAATACAAAAGGAGCAAGAAATGTTCGTTTGAAAGCTTTCATGCTGTTTATTGTCGCTCTATGAACTAAATATTTCATAAATATTTCATTTTGTGTGATACCTCGTGTGGTTTGACATTAATGATGTCCAAATCAGTTTGGAAAGTGTCCTTTGTTATGTTTACAACTACATTGATTGTAGCGCCATACTTATTTTCACCTGCAAACTAAATCAGAATACAGGAGAATATATTTAATGTATGACATAAATATCATTAAAAAAATCATATTTAGCTGATTATTTTGTGAGATTAGATTTTTAAATACTGTACCTGAAATAAAAACTGCATCTTTCGATTCTCTACTTTTTCACCCTCTTCAATACGGAGTCTGTTTGGGCTGGCTGTGCTGTTGTTAAGATAATGATAATAATAATCATAAATATCCTTAAATATTACAAAATCAAGAGGTTTCATGTGAAATACTTAAGTTGTTTGTTCACTTACCCAGTTAGCTGGATTGGTAGGGAATACTTCACAGCAAATGCATATATTTTAGAGTCCAGAATTTTAGAGCCATGATTCTGACTAAAACCAGAGAAAATGTTTTAAAAATAAATGTTTAAAAGCAGATTTTTATACACTGTAAAAATGTAAACTTATTTAATAAAAAGATTATTGGTCATCAGAAGGCTGGTGACAGAGAGCGCACTGTCTGTCTGTCTGTGTGTGTGTGTGTGTGTGTGTGTGTGTGTGTGTTTATATGACGGGAGAGCCTGGTGAATCCATGACACATATGTTGTTCCAAACCTGTGTGACTTTCTTTTTTCCATGTTACAAAAGAAGTTGTGAAGAAAGTTTTTGTTCATATATAATGAGTGTCAATGGTGATTAGAATAGAGCTTGAATTGTTTTCCATTGCCTTTTCCATTGCCAACAGTTATTTTAAACTGTAAAATTATTTCACAATATTAATGTTCTTGACTATTTTTAATCATATAAATGCAGTAGGTGAACATGAACAAAGAACCTTACTAATACAAAACCTTAGAACAGTAATGTATCATAATATCAAAACAAGCATTTGTTAATAAATCTATTTTGTTAACATCAAATTAGTTGCTTATTCTATTCCACAAAATGCCATGAAGTATTTCTTTTCTCATTTACAGTGTACCAAATGTAATACACGTTTGTCCATACAACACAAAGAACTGAACTCAATGTATACAACTAGCTGAAGTTTGCTGTACTTTATCCTAACATTGCACAAAGCAATGCATTTGTATAAGAAAAATATCGATATTTACAATTTTATAAACCATAATCTCTAGCTTCTGCTAACTGTCATACTCGCGTTCACAAGGGAGTGGCATTCAGTTACCGTTTATAAAGTTGCAAATATGGATATTTCTTCGCTTCAGGAGGCCTTTATTAACCCTTCGGAGCCATGTGGAGTACTTTTTATGATGGACAGATGCACTTTTTTGGGCTTCAAAATCTCGATCCCTATTCACTGCCATTATAAAGCTTGGAAGAGCCAGGACATTTTTTTTACATTACTCCGATTGGATTTGTCTGAAAGAAGAAAGTCATATACACCTAGGATGGCTTGAGGGTGAGTAAATCATGGGGTAATTTACATTTTCGGGTGAACTATCCCTTTAAGCACAGTATGAAAAGCCCTGTGAAGGCCTTCAGAAACGGCCTCTGACAGTCGTGAACATGCAAACACAGACAAGCAGAGTGACATAAATAGTGAAAAGTCAAGGGCAGTGCTGTCAGATTGTTATATATGCTCTCTTTACCAGAATCAAGTATTCAAGAGAGAAAGGTGATAAAAAAATTATTTGAGGTCTATTTGAAAAATGAG